CGACGGCACGATATGAAGGTGCAAGGCTAGAGCAAGGATGAAATCTTGGACGGCAATTACATTTCGGAGTCAATGAGGATGTCAAGGGCTCGGGCGCGTGGTGGCCGAGGCTGAGGAGGAATATGCGCTTGGGCGCGTCAAAAGAGGGTTCTCTGGACGGTTTGGCTTGACATGATTCAACACATGGGTGAAGTCTGAGGTGATCCGGTCATTTAGGTGGGACGAGGCACTTGTACTTTACGGTAGTTAACCTAATCCGGCCCGGCCCCACCCGTGCTTAAGCTCCAGTAGGAGTGCAACGGGAATCACTTTACCTAGCACCTTAATGAACAAGACAAGGAGGGCAAGACTGAACACCTGTACGCGGTGTCCTCTACGAACCTGGGAGTGAAATATTCTCCCAGAGCCAAGTTCAGTCAAATTTCGCAATATCAAAGAAGTTGGCCCACGAGGCAAAAATCCAAATTACTCCTCCACGTCGTTTTTTTGCTCCCAACGAGTTTGACTCATACCTAAGTCTCATCAAGTCTACAAATACGACCTAGTGCATCCTCCTTTCAATGACCACACCTCTTTTCGACTTTCTCTGGCTTTAGCTGGTCGCCAGATACACGCCCACGCCGATATTTATACCCGACGGAGGAAGCAAAGCGTGACGCACAAATCTGGGAGACAGTTCTTTGGGATGGACGTGAGAGGAATCAGGACAAGTTTACAAGATGATGCGGAGGAAGGATACAAACTCGACGGGCGTGATTTTGAATTTAGGCAAGAGTTTTACGAATTGAGCTTTGTGCGCGCCAAGACTTCGCTTGCGAGAGTGCAGCTGACACTATAAAAACAAGCCGACGATGGAAGGTGTTGTGATCCGCCTCCTGGTGATGTTCTCTGGTATAGTTTGAGTAGCCTGGGCACCTACTCCACTTGGGAAGGAGACATCTCAGATTACATTTCGCGCGGAGAAAAGTTGATGGATGACGGAGGCATGTCTGGATAACTCAGGGTTTTTGAGATGTTCCCCTGTGTGGGTATTCACGGATGAGGGTTGACTTGGGGTGAAGAAAAAGCCACCATAACTTCGCAGTGGTACCTGCAAATGAAATCCGAGGCATGAGTGCTCTTCCTTTACGTTGAATCATCTATTCTGTACTTTTCTTTGATATTGTGTCATAGCTAGATAGCTGCATACGCAATTAAAATCTGATGCAAAAAAAAAAAAAAAAAAAAAGAACAAGACAAGACAAGACATACTATCTAACGCCTTACTTTACAATTATGTTATAGAGAAGCGAGCTCTTCCACTGAGTCACTTTAGGTTTATCTGGTAGGGAAGTCTGGCAGTTTTATTTGAACAGAGCAAACCGATTCGCGAAGAGCTCACGTGCTGTGCACGAGCACGACGTTAAATAAACTTGTCCGTATTAGAATTTGGTTTCATTTAAGCCGATTAGGCACCCTATGGGTCCATGCAGGTGACTATCTTCATTATTTACAAAGGAGGAAACTAACTTGGTGAAAACCCCCTAATCCTGTCTGTTTATTTTACTATCAATTTATTTAGTTAACTTTCAGTAAGTGCAAGGTACACTGTTCAGCCAGTGTGGATTCCGTTCTCTCCCCTTTCGGATCGTTTAATTTCATCCGAAATTGCTACCTCGACTTCTCCTGCCAGTCGAAACTGTTTTATCCACCCTTTACTTAGTATCCACTTTATGATTCTAGCCACATATTCTGGGCTGTTCATCATTGTTTCAGATGACCTGTCTTTAGCTTGTCAGAGAAAGTCGCCTCTTCCATTTGCCCACTACGGACACGCCAGTACCATGTGCTTGACGTTTTGTGATGGATATACACACTGATAGCTTGCATTTTCTACTCCGAGTACCTTCCTTCTGCAAGGGTTGGAATTGAGTCCGATATACTCGCTTCTTAGCTGAATGGCGACACTGCTTTGGGCCCTGCTTAGCTTACGGTAGATGTTTAAGGGTATATCTTTGAAATTAATTTTGGCGCTGCCTGTTTGTTCAATAGTAAATATATTTGCCACTTTCCAATGTTCTGGATCGGCTAATGCTGGTCGGCCAGAGCGCTGTTTCCTGATCTGGCTTGTCCATGAATCCTTCCACTCCTGAAAGGCCGCTATCTTTCCAGCTCTCTTTCTGCTTTCTCTTATACTTTTCCCTGCCGCAAGTTCTTGTCTATTCGGCGATATCTTTACTCTTGGTTAATACATGCGGAGTTTCTCTCCCGTTTGCGGGCAGCTTTATCCTCTTACATGTCGATCAGATTGTCTGTTGCACTGGGAGTTTATCTGATAGTCCGGCGTGCCGGGCCCTCTTTTTTTATAGGTATATTTCCACAGGGAAGACGGACGATTCGTACTCTGCCACTCTGCTACTAGTAGAATTGTAGGCGTCTGCGATAAGCTTTAAGCATTTCCTTTGAATACTTCTGAGGGGTTTCACTATCCTTTCAGATACCTTTCCTGTCGGCCCGGCCTCGGCCTATATCGGGGACCCATACGTGAGGGCCAGTCTCACTAAATTTGTCCATATTGTGATATTCGGTTGATAAAATGGCAGCCCTCTATAGATTAGACAATGAAAACTAGTGGTTTATCTTGATAAGCGAATTTATATTCAATCCACAAAATCTCAGTTGCACAATGGGAAAATTAGGGCTTGTAACTACTGGCATCAAAAGGCTTGATTGGTGCTATCCAAACACAGATATATAGCTCTCTTGTGCACATGTCTCTCGTGATGGCCTCGACTACAGGATTACGCCAGTTCTACTCGGACTTCCAGTAGGACTTCTTGATTTAGCCACGTCATGCACGGCCTGCCTCTCACTCAAAACTATGGCACAGTAATTAGTATAAACCTTTCCCCATGTACGGCATATCATTCACGCGTGTATGCATCTATTTTATGCTCATGATATGTGGAGCAGTCTCTTTTTTTTTTTAAATCACTTAATGTGTATTCAGTTATAAAGCTATGACACATGACCGGTGCTATGTATACATGTTGGATGACTCTTTTGACGTTAGAGACACTCATACTCTGGATTTCATTTGCAAATACCACTATGAGGTATGCTTGCTTACACAAACAGTCAACCCTCCTCCGTAAGTACCCACCAAAGGGAATTTCAAAACCTTTGGTTATCCAAGCATGTCTTCGTCATCCATGCATACCAGCCCCGCGAGAAATTTGGTTGTGTTTTTCTGGATTTGAACCAGCGATCTACTGTCTCAAGTGGGATATGTGTCCAAGCTATCCAGACTCTACTTGGCAGACCAACCAAGACGATGTACCACCGCACCATCCAACCATGGCGGTGTTTATAGTGTCGCCTGCACTCTCGCAGCCGAAGTCTTGTCACGCACAAGCTCAATTTGTAAAAACTCCATGCCAAAATTCAAAATTCCACGCCCGTTGAGACTGTATCCATCCTTTGCATCATCTTGTTAACTTGTCCTGAATCCTCTCACGCCAATCCCAAAGAACAGTCTCCCAGATTTGTGCGCCACGCTTTGCTTCCTCCGTCGGGTGTAAATATCGGCGTGGGCGTGTATCTGGCGACCAGCTAAAGCCAGAGAAAGTCGAAAAGAGGTGTGGTCATTGGAATGAGGATGTACTAGGTTGTACTTGTAGACTTGATAGGCTTAGTTGAGAATCGGACTCTTTGGGAGTGAAAATTTGACGTAGTGGAGTAATTTGAATTTTTGCCTCGTGGGCCAACTTATTCGGTATTGCGAAGTTTGACTGAACTCGGCTCTGGGAGAATATTTCACTCCCAGGATCGTAGAGGACACCGCGTACATGTGTTCAGTCTTGCCCTCCGTGGAGCAGTCTCGCTATCCACCAAAACCAATTCAAATTTGGGGAACCCTATCAGTAACACGAGAGCACGACGAACTCTTCCTGAATAGTGTTAAGGTACACGCAAGCGTTGTGATTATGAGCCCATGGTTAAAGTTGCGCGAGACTTCAATTTCGCAATACACGCATAAAGTGATAGAATTGTGGTCTCAGCGATGTGTAGTTAGTCATCTTCAATCTATAGGGCTGAATCAACTTTCTTTACAACTTTGATGGGCAGGAGACGAAGACTCAACAGCTGTCTACCGTTTCTGCTGGGGCAGATCACCCATCTTGGATCATTCCCGGGTAAGCCGTAGTGTATTCTAACTTATTTTGGTATATGTATGTCGGGGAGCTTTAATACGCCGAGATCAACCTCACGCACATCGTACAATCCTCAACGTCGAAATAACAAAAAAAGCTATACCCAACCGTGCATTGGATCCGACAAAACTTGAAAGCGGGTTGGTGTGAGCCAAATTAACATGGTTGCATTTTATATTAAGTTGGTTGATAGTGAAATTGATGGGTAAATGATTCATGATCTCATTTAATGCATGCTTATATCTGTACTCTGCTATGTTCCGCGGCTTCCCAGGAGCAATATGCCATGGCTCATTTTATTTCATGCTGGGAAATGGGCAAATTCGCCAGTACGACTCGACATGAAATGACTAAAGCATCGGGCCTATTCAAAGTGGTCTTGGTAAATCCTGATCTCCAACTTTTGGTACATTCTATTCAGAAGTACAGAGATATCTACAGACGGAATTCATCTTTTACATTATTCCACCAGCCATGTCCGACCTAGCAGCGCCAGACTTAATTGGTTCGCTGGCTGCATGTAGGTCATCGTTCCATCAACAACGAGGCTGAGCTAACTTGACGAGCGAAGCCTTAATGAAATGCGCCTATGTATTCCATCTCTTACCGATGCCGCATGTACACAAAATGGAGCGCCAGGTAGTTGTGGCTTACGATTATGATAATCCTACCTATGAGGTTTTTCGACCCAAGGTTCATAGTCAGTTCCCCGATATCGAAAAGGGATCTGGTATTTTTGCCACTTCCCACACATTCCAGGGTCCTGGAACATATGTTAAAGCATACTGCTCCTTCACCCTTTCAACAATGGACATAGTTGGCAAAATATTTCAAGGACAAACACCAGTGACCGACACGTCACACCTCGACTTTGGCGCAAATGAAGAGAAAGAAAGAGAATGTCTGAACTACATTCAAAGATTGTCGGTCGCGGCAGATCAGCAAGAGGGCTTGAAGATATCACAAATTCGGAAGCACAAAGGCTGTCTTGATATTACGCTAGCTCATTTGGCCTATCGTGGTTTGATATCGATCCAAGGCACGTATTCGGGATATGCTCCTACGGGAATATCAGAGGTGACAAAAATCGATGCTGATGAGCCGATTAACATCGCGGAAGTACTTTTGACGAAGCAATTCTTCGAGTGGGACTTTAAACAAGAAGGTACATACGCAGTTGCTTGGTACATGGGCCATCTACATATATTTACGCGGTGCATGTGGGGCAATCATTGGCGCCCAATCACGTACATCGGCACGCCACGGGAAAACTACGGTCTCATTAGATCCAAATTCTTTTACAATCACGGTAAGAACATTGATTTCATGAATCTCGTTAAGCGATGTGCATGTTCACCCAGAAGGAAGGGGTCTATTGGGAAATGGTTGAGCTGTGTACCCTCTGATGAAGAAAATTGTACAATAAAAGCTGTACGTAAATACAACTTCGGCCACTTTTCCTCGCCCCTTCCCATCGGCGATCGTCGCCTACTGGGCTAAGTTAGATTGTCGGAAAGTTCAGCATCTACTAAGCTACGGGGAGCGAGGATGCTTCATTTCGTACAGAATTAGTCCTCGAGACTTGGCCGTGTGTAAAGCTGACCATCAGCGAGTAACTTCGCCTGCACCATCTACATCTCCTGTAAATCAACTTTTCATTCAATCGAAATCGAATTAAGATTTTGAAGATATAATTCTACAGTAATTTTCTCTACATATTTGTCAACTGATAAAGCAAGTAAATAGATAATCAGTAAAGACATGTTTTCAGTTCATTAACTTTATTGGTCTCCAGCTGCAGAGGTAGATGGAAGGATATTTATTCGTGACCAACACCAGCCTGGCACTCAGAGCATGACACGGGAAAGGCTAGTCCTCCCCAGCGACTATATTCGAGGATAACTCAGCTTGAAATTTGTATCACTGTGTTCAAATGTGATATGTATTGAAGACTAAGAGCAACTGTTAGGCTCTACGAGTCAATTGAATAAAGTAAAAAGTGTCAATTAATTCCTGGCTGATCTCTTCACTTTCTATTTCTATCTAGATTATGTATGTTGAGAAATGGCAATTTTCTATCTGTCCCCACTTCTTCCCCATGAACCGAATTTCTCATGGTTTAGAACGAAACATCTCTGGTCAGAAGATTTAGACTTCTAATTGCCATAACCCGAGCGAAACATCTTTGTCCGAAACCAGTAACTCCAAGCTAGGTAAACCTAACACCTAGAACTCTATATCTAGCATTGGTTGCTTCCAAACTATCCGGAGCTTGATAGCAACATATGTTTAGATCTGGCTGATTAGATGAGCAAATTTCCCGTACTATGCTATAGTTGTCAACACATCCTGAATCGATAATTCAAAGCGCAATGATATTCATCATATACTACCACTCAGCGAATGACTGTGTCTTAAATGCAGGTGATAAGATGCTCAGAACTCTCACTGTCCGCACGTGTATTTGGCGATATACTGCTAGTTTCTATATCTATATATATATATAGATCTATAACTAAAAGTATTACATCTCGTGATTCATGGTGATTAATACTTGTCAGAAACCGCAGTCAATGTACATGCGCACACGCAATCTTGTCACGGCTACTCGAAAAGTGGCATACGATAGAAGTTAGACAAGTCTTTAGGTATGATGCAGTAAAGCTTAGAGCATATAATTCAACTAAACTACGACGTGGTTGTACGATTTGTGGAAGCCATGTGGATGAAAACTAATAAAATTAATGATTACGACCCTGAAGTTTGTGCGCAATGCCATAGCCCCTAGTAACGGGACGGGTCCCTATTGCCGATAGGAACCTGAGGCACACTTGTCGCTGAGTGATAGTGAAGCCATTACAATCTTATCTCCACTTGTCAAAGTTTACTCATAACCATACATATCAATACAATTGTTTTCACTCAAATCTGCCTTCCTACGCTGGTCTGACTGCCAACACTGATTCTGCTCTTACCTACATCTTAGCTCAAGCTTACGACTTCTACACACTCATGTTACGGGTGCATTCCCTCATACCACTCGAGCCATTTGTGCTCGGGACTTTCAACCGTGAATATCCAAATGGAAGATAGGAAATATTTTTCGCTACCATGATATGCCTCTGCTTTCTTGTCTATGGCATTGCAGTCCACTTCTCGAGTGAGGTAGGTGTCCGGCCCACCAATACTTTAATTCCGTCCCGGGCTGGCGTTGTGTAAATAGTCGGATGTACAGAATAGATAATTTAAGTTGCACAGGGTAAGAACCCAATGCACAGGAGGGCAAGACTGAACACCTGTACGCGGTGCCTTCAACGAACCTGGGAGTGAAATATTCTCTCAGAGCCAAATTTAGTCCAATGTCGCAATATCAAAGAAGTTGGCCCACGAGGCAATGATTCGAACTACTCCTCCACGTCGTTTTTTCGCTCCCAACGAGTTTGACTCATACCTAAGTCTCATCAAGTCTACAAATACGACCTAGTGCATCCTCCTTTCAATGACCACACCTTTCGTCGACTTTCTCAGGCCTCAGCCGGTCACCAAATACACGCCCACGCTGATATTTATACCCGACGGAGGAAGCAAAGCGTGGAGCACAAATCTGGGAGATAGTTCTTTGGGATGGACATTAGAGGGATCAAGACAAGTTGAAAAGATGATGCAAAGGAAGGATACAAACTCGACGGGCGTGATTTTGATTTTAGGCAAGAGTTTTACGAATTGAGCCTTGTGCGCGCCAATACTTCGCTTGCGAGAGTGCAGCTGACACTATAAACACAAGCCAACGATGGAAGTTGTTGTGGTCCACCTCTTGGTGGTGTTCTCCGATAAAGTTTGAGTAGCCTGGACAACTACTCCACTTGGGAAGGAGACATCTCAGATTACATTTCGCGCGGAGAAAAGTTGAAAGATGATGGAGGCATGAGTGCTCTTCTTATAAATTGAGTCATCTTTTCTGTACTTTTCTTTGATATTGTCTGATAACTAGATAGCTGCATCCGCAATTAAAATCCGATGCAAGCAAAAGAAAACAAAAGGCCCCAATCTCCAAGCAGAGATCTATCTCCAAGTATCGGGTTGGATGGTGCCGTGGTACACCATTCGGGCCGTTCTCCCAAGTAGATACTGGGTAGCCTGAACACTTACCCCATTTGAGACAGGAGAAATCTGGTTCGAATCTAGTAAGACCCGCACAACACTCAATCTCGCGGTGATATTATGTTTGTGAGATGATGAAAGCACACTCGGATAGCCACAGGTTTATTCATGCTTTTCCCTGTGGTGGGTATGCACGGAAGTGGCTATACGCCGTAAGAGTTAACCTCGAGTGGTATCTGCAAATAAAATGTGAGTGGGATTGTTCTAAACGTCAAAATGGGCCATCTTACTATGACGGGCTTTGCCCGGATTGGGACTGGTCACTAGGACCACTCCGTCTCCGAGGTAAGGTAGTGGCAGGGCAACGCTCCTGGATAGACGAAAGGGGCGCGAAGGGGGTGCGCACCAAATGAGGAGTATGATACAGGAGAAGAGTTGTGCCGGGAGAAAGCATGATTCTCAAGTGGCCAATGGAGGAAGTTAAGACTAGTCTGCACAGAGTATATAACGTACGGGATAATACGTGGTAGATGGTCTTCCCAATGAACAAGTTATTAATTCCTATTGAGTTATTGTTGTTAAGGGCGAAGAGGATTACGGACACCGCACGTAAACAGTACCACGAAGTATTACTATTTTTCTACAGAGATTAATTTCAGGAAATCTGTTACATTAAATATGCCCTCTGCAGCTACCAGTGATCTTGATTCCTGACACGTAATCCTTCGCTACGGAGTGATCTGTTTCCCAGCCTCAGCATAATCAACTGAGTGATTCGAGTCATAAGAAACGACCCCACGTTTTATCACGTGATTAAAGTCCTTGAACGAGGCTGGGCTTGAAAGATAGCCCAGCCTAATCGAACGGGGCACAGCCCGTAACAATTGTCTTTCAAGTACATCTGAATTCATTAAACCTTTACACCTACTCAAAGTAAATATCTCCCGATAAAACCTGCACGGGCCTCAAGGCGCCGAATTGGGATTTTTTTTGAAATTATGGAGTACAGAGATAAGTCAGGTGATGGTTAATGGAAGTAATTGATGAAGGGTTTTTTTTTTTTTTTTTATTATATTAAAGTCCTAAGCTAAGGCTCTAGGTCCACTATCGGTACAAGACTGGTGGAGCTGGCGGGGATCACTGCTTACAGGCCCAACTCATTCCAACCGCGTGACCCGCTACAGAAAAAGTAGCAGGTAAATTATAACTCAGAAACTGTAATCAAAAACTAAAATCAAAACTAAAAGCCAAAGACTGAAATCAAATTTACAAGATTTTTCATGTGGTCCGGATCCCGCGCTTCTCGCCCGTTCCCTTTCCTGCCACATCTTCCAAATGACAAATTTACTCAATCTCCGCTGAGAGCAAGAGATGAGATAGCAGGCACTTTTTATCCAGCCGGTATCCTGCTATTGGTTAGTATATGCCCCAAAAGGGACATCGTCAAGGTTGCTGTGTCCTCAAACTTCTTCTTCAAATTCCAAAACTCCGAAACCTGTAGCCTCGGCCATCGAGACGTCTTTTGCAGCGGCGGTGATTGCCTCTTCGGCCTTCTTTGCTGTTGCTCGTGCTCGTGCCACCTTCGCGAACTCCCCTTGTTCGATGTGGCGGATCCACGCGAGCTGCTCTTTGGTCACCGGTCCAGACTTTCTGGGTCTGACTTTGCAGTCCCGGGAATCCGATCGGTGGGGTCCCCCACAGTTGCGACATTTTGTGAGGGCCTTGCACTCGGCTTCCGAGTGCATGTTTGATCCGCAGTTCCAGCACGCTGGGGCGCGGGAGCAACCACGGGTGGCGTGGAAGCCCAAACAGCGTTTGCACTGTTCAATTTGGCGACGAGGCTGGATCTTTGTAGCCGCTCCGGACTCGTCGAGAATTCGGAAGCCCGCACGAGGGGCGGAGTTCCGGTTGAAAAGGGCATACCAGTTTCTGTATGGCGCTCCAGGACGACATGTCCCTTGCGGTCGCACCTGGCATGAACGTCGTTGTGTTTTGCGGTAAATCTCCAGTGAGATCCTACCGGCATCGACCGTCTCAATACGGTTGATTAATTTTATAGTCGCTGGAACATTCGCGATCCGAAAGGCGACAAGGTTGGAGGCTTCCTCGATTTTGGCATTGAAGTCCGACAACTTCGGTGAGGCATCTAAGAGCTCTTCCCTTTCATTTTCATCCGCTGTCAGAATCGCAAATCCGGTTCTGACACGGTGTATAGAGCTTTTTTCACTCAAGGTGTACAGTAGCCTACAACATAATTGATGCCGTATGCCGTCAGGCGAAAGCTGGCGCCATGGGTGATCGCTCTCTAAGCGAAGGAACAGTCGTTTGTCGACTTTAGCCTTCGGAGCTTCTTTATTTTGGGCTTTTGCCGCAGGTCGCGGAACAGCCTTTACAGTTGG